CATTAGGTCATCCTCAGTGTAAAACACAATAATTTTGACTAATTAAACGTGATTGTATGTTTAAATTAATTTGATAAATATTAAAGATGGATTAATTATATATTAGAATTTTACACCTTGCGTTGATTTGTAGCCTTTCTTTTCTGGAAATTTTAATTTTAAATTTTTGAATCAGAATATTTTGATTAGAAAGAAATGTTTTTACCATTCTCTTTAAAAAATGACAATGTTTGTTTGTATCTCATTTCCAAAGCAAGGTAACGTAAATATGAAAGTAAATAACACCGTATATAACCACTCGCTATATTGTTTACACTTTTATACATATACCTTCCCTTAATAAAGGTATATCTCTGCATGTAATTATACTATTTTATTCATATTTTTATGCCTTTCATCGTACCGATTTAACAGGATGCTGCTGACGTGGCTATTTCACTGAATGAAACATTCACAAAGCTTCTAGAACTATTAATATGAGATCTTAACATATAATACATAATGCAATAATGCAATACAGAATTTTATTAAAAATTATGACAATTGAAGTGTGAGGAAATAATATGTAACAAAACATATTTTCATATATACCAATTGCATTATTGCATCAATGCGTAATAATAAATAAAAAATATTATGGTTTAGTATTAAGAGTGACAAAACAAAATATTGATTTTCTGAATATTAATAATAATAAGAATGATTAATTCTCTATAAAATTTAATTTAAAAATAACAGCGAGTTATTCAAGTCAATTCTATTAAAAATGGTTTAAGGTTCATATAAAACATATTTTCATATATATCAATTGTATCAACGTATATAAATAAAAAATATTGTGTTTTAGTATCAAGACAAAATATTGATTTCCCGAGAATATTAGTAATATACTTAGAGAATAATCAATTCTCCCAAGTTTAATTTAAAAATATCAAATTGTGCCAATTCTATGATTAGAATTAGAAACGATTTAACATTTGCCACATATCTACTTTCTGTTAAAGAAACATCGATCTTTATCATCGTCAATAATAATAATGGAACACGAAATACATACCGAGAATATCGATATTTGACTGAATACATTGTTTATCGTGTTCCGTTATAGCTCCGGTTGTTGACACCACTGTTGCCTGGCAAATCTTTGCCGGCCAATTATCATTTTCACTCACTCGTCGGATTTGCAATTACGTTGCTGATTACGTCAACCGAAGCGCATTCATTAACGTGCCATCGCGCAACAACCGGCGTGGAATGTATTATACCATATCGTGAACTAGGATAGATTTAAACCACAATGTTGTTCCATATGCAGTACCAAATGGTACAGATTCATAGAGTTAATATGTTTTGTAATAAATGATAGTATACATGCATATAGGATATACATAGATATTATATATATTCCATATATAATTAATGAGAATTAGAATTCCATTTTCAGCAGCACTTAGTTAACTAGCTTGTTAATGTTGATGGTTTCATTTTATATGTCATTTAAGCCGATACTTCGTAATAAATTACGAAAACTGTAATAAACTTAATAAAATCATAATTACATTTATCCAATGATGACAAAGTGGCATTGTATTCTCTCGAATTCTACTACCGAAATGAATGTAATTTGAGCTTCGAATCAATATAATCTCGTGAGAGCTTACGCAAGACCAACTGATATTCGAAACTAGAATCCGAAAAATGAGTTCGAATTTATTTGACGGAACCAGAACGAGACGTTTAACAAACGCATAACTGGCAAAAAATGCATTAGTGGTTAATTCGGATGTATTTACGCCGCTCGGCTAGGCGAAAACACGTTGCGGTAAAAAAATGCTGAGTCAAGAATATATATGCCAGAGTGGTGAGATTGGAGTTCCACCCGCTAGCAGAATTTTATTATCCTTGCGAATTTTGGTACGTGAATTATTCTCTGTAGGACACGTTTCGACTCGAAGGCAAAAACGGGAATTATGCCAGCAGGAATTTTATGCCAAATCTCTTGTATTCAGCAACTTTACATAAAAATCACGAGATTTCAAACAAATTATTTCCAACGTTTCTTTCAATTAGCTAAAAAGATAAAAGCGAGAAGAAATATGATTACAAGTAAATAAATATTATTAATATTAATCTCTCTAATAGAAATTCTTATATTTTTTTAAACAGCTTATTATAAATTACTTTTCGTGAAAGTCTCATTTGTCACAAGATAGTTTTTCTTATCACATTCTATTAAAGTTATTTCGTTGCGTTATTTTTCAATCAATCTGTTCTACTTTTGCTGACACTTCTATCGATTCTCACCACCGACAATCTTCATAGATCTATCAGAAAACAACCCTTTCCCCTTCCACGAATTTCCAAAGTTACCCCAATGGGAAATTTCGATCGACAGTCAGTAGGGACTCCCGCGTTTCTAGCTTTTTGCGGAATGGATTTGTAAAATCGATCTCGCCGTCGACTTCATGTTTTACGATTTTACGAATGAGAGAACGTGCAAAAGAAAGACGATTTATTTCGCGCCAACCTTCCCCGTTACCAGACATAAACGATCTAGACGGAGTAGATGCACCTGCATCGATGCGCTCGTAGCACATAAAAAGGGGAGAATAAGGGTGGGTATGGGGGTTGAAAAGGACTCGGTTCGTCGACGTGTTTCCTCCAAGCCGCTTATCGAACACGCCGGAACTCTTACGTTCTGCAGCGCTTCGTATACTCTCCGTTCCTCACTATCACTTATTCTTCTCTTTATGCAGAGCCCAAAATCAACGGTAGTGGTCCTACATCACAAATAGAAGCGAATAATTCCATGCTGATTTTTAATCTTACTCATTGCGCGAGAAAATGACAAAACTGGACAATGCAAAGAAAAAGAACGATTTCTTTTTTTTTACATTTCTTTTGTTAATATCCCGCCCCGCTTTCGTAATCTACAAATTATCATTTCCTTCTACCATCTCATTTCGTACTACTACCATTTCAACAAGTTTCAGTCGCTTACTTTATCGGTGTTTTACATCTTTTGAAAGAAACTAGAAAGTTTTTCTCCGTATTTTAAGACGACGATCTTATATAGATCTTGGCAGCGAAATCTATATAGAAGTTGAAAAATCTTGCAAATCGAAAAATTTTAGATATCAAGAACTTCGTGATATAACAGTAAGATTTTAAGAATCGAACAATTCCGAGACTAAAAAGAATTGAAAAAATTAAAAAAAATATATTTTAATAATTTAGAGATATGAAAAGTAAAACATTTCAGAATCCAGAAATTTCATAATTTCAAAATACAAAATTAGATTCGTCTAATTTTATTAAAAATTTCTTGTCTATCTCTTATAAAGATATTACAAGCGAAATATGTGAAAAATCTCACAAAAATTAATATATTTCGCTTCGAATTCACATAAGTTATAGTTTATTCTTTCTTTGAGTATTTGTTTATTTACGGAAATGATAAAAACTGTCATATGGCAAACAAGCACAATTAATTTCGTGTAAAACGAAGGAGTGTGAAGTACATATATAGAATATCGCACCGATATTCAGAATAGCGGATGTTTATCATGAAAGTTTATTTAAGGAGGATCACGAATTGTATAGCAGCGAAAATGTTGAGTTTTCAGCGCAGCAGTTATGCCAATATGAAATTCTTTCGGATTGCATGTACAGAGTTACGTTGTTTATAGTGTATCTTAGCTCCAACTTTCAATGGCAAAATAACTCGTCTTCCCTTGCCTACCCTCGTTGCTTTTTATTTGGTCGACGACGTTCGCAAACGGAAGAAACGGAAGTCGTGCGTTATCGTTGTCGTTTTCCCTAATGTTCTCAGAAACTGCTGAAAGATTCACGAACGTAAAAAAAAACGATCACAGAGACTTCGCCTAACTAAATCTTACGGCGTACTTGCCTTCAACTTTAAAGAAGACACGAATAGTGCTCTCATTGTATCTTTGCCGCAGCCAAGAAAATTACATTTTTATTCGTTGTTTGCGAAGGCAAATCGCACAAACACAACCGACAAGTACATCCAATAATGTCACGATAAATAAATTAATAAATTAACGCATTAATTTATTTCAAATAATTATAAAACATTATTTTCCATGGGAAAACACATCTGCCTCGTAACAGTGCAATAGATTTTATAGACAAGGAGATGCAAAATGATACTTGATGACACGCTGGTGTCTGCATGAATATGTAATTGTACATGTCACCGCCAGCTGCATTGTGCAATCGGCATTCGTGATGGAATCGAGATCAATTTTCACACACGATATAACTATTGAGAAATTTCCGCATCATCATTGAGTAATTTATTATTTATCACCATTTTCATATTAATAATATCGAAATAATATTAAATGCTATAAATATGTCAAACATTATGAACTGGCAAAATAATATTCTTCAGTCAAATGCCAGCGTAATATATATGTATCAAATGTACGAACGATATACGTTAAAAAACCTAAGGTACTAAAATAAAAATATTAATATTTATAAAATTTATAATATCATTGTTTATTTTTATGTAAATATAATATTGATCAATATTGATATATCAATTGGATCAATTTTATATAATACATCTTCTTTAGAATTTTCTAATGTTAAAAAGTATGAATTGGTTAAATTGATCAATTAGACTACACGTACTAAAAAATTTCATGATAGCAGCTTTTTTTCATAATCGTTAAATCTCAATGTCGATGGCGAGTTGCAACTCGTTAATCCTCAAACGACGGGGATTTTAGAACACGATGCGACATCGAGAGGATAATCCCACGACGGAGCACTTAAGCGTTTAAACTTTAACCCATTCGATCGTACCAACCGGCTCGTGTCGTGAACAGTCTTTCCTCCGAGACAGCAGCCGATCGAAAAGCGGCCGTAACATTCGTCTCTCATTCGAGAGAAGACTTCGAACAGAATCAAGTCAAGGCCGTAATTTACGTAACTAGGCTAGACGAGTAAATAATACAAGCGGTACTCACCAACCACGTTGAGGCTATAGTTGAGCGACATCTTCGGCTCGGTGCTGACCTGGCACTCGTACACGCCAGAATCGCGCTGCTGCGGCGACTTGATTTGCAGCGTCCAGTTCTCCGACTTGTCCGGATGGATCACCTGGAACCTCAGGTCCGACGTATACATGAAGATGCCCGCACTCAGGATGTGCATGTCCCGTTTGCGCATCCAGGACACCTGCAACGTAAACAGTACAACCTGTAGTTGCATGTTTGTTATACGCAAATTTAACGCAATTTGCTGTCGTAAACTGACATTTTACTTTCTCAATCGTCAATCTCTAATCTATGTAATTTAAAAAATTCTAATGGCTCTAAACATCTCCAATCTTCTAGCTTTAACAAATAAATTTATAAAGATTATTGAAATAATAGTATTTAGTTGAAATTATATACAGATATTTTTTTAGTCAAATAAAAGTATATTAATGCTTGAAAATCTTTTATTGATACTATCAGTTTTTATTTTAAATATTATTCATGTATTAAAAAATAAAGAATGACAAATATGTTAGAATAACTTTTCTTTTAAAACAATATCACTACTTTGTTTCTTAAATTCGAAATTACCGAAATATACATTGTATATATAACGATCGGCGAATTGACTAATTTACATAAACTTTGAATCACGAGGATATTTAAATTCAGGAACACGTTATAAATGTTTAGTACCGGAAGTTCTCAAGCATCAACGCTCGTGCCGCTACAATACTGGCCCGGGAGAGCCTGTAACGTCTTGGTCGTGTTAGAACAAAGACTAGGGAAAGCACCCACAGCATCGTAAATCCCCGGTTGGTCGACGTGTGTGTCGCAAACGATCTCTATAGTCTCTCATTGTTTTGCGCGCGAACATGTCCGCCGGCTATTTAATGCGCCGTCAGAGTTCCGGAGCGTAATTCCGAGCGCGCGTTGAAAACGGCAGCCAAACGCAAAATTATTAGATCTCTTCCTCCTCCTAAAGACTTTTCTGTGCACTGTAGTTTGAATTTCTTTACCACGAAAGCTGTATTGAATTCGTATAAATTAATTTTTATGCGGACAAACGTGGCTTAAGAGGTGGAGATTCGCGACTTCTTTTCAAAAGAAGAAATAATTTCTTTAAGAATCCGATTAAATTACTTTTCTTTCCACGCATTTAATTCTTAATCTATTTAATAAAATAATATAAAAATATATTTATAATATTGAATTTTAGACATTTTTTAAGCAATATAAAAATTTATTAGTAATAGCGTTTTATAGAATAAATCTAGAAAAGAGAGATTTTTTTTTTGTATTACATATTTCTGTCGTGATTAAAATTTATAACGCAAAATAATTTAGCACACATTCAAAAAATTTTTTTAAGTCTCCTCATTTCCTAATTTTATTTTTTAAAAGTTTTATTAAGTGGTCAGTCGATGGCGTATTTAACAATGTATAGAAATCAAAGAGACAAGTAATCCAGACAACGTTCAGTATATCCATTAAAAGGCAATGAAAGATAGAAAGCTCAATTTAGGTGGGTGGCTTAGCCACGCATATCGCGGCGGCGTATGATGCACTCGCATGATTGGATGATACCTTTGCGAACAAACGCCACGGACTAATTCACGCAGTGTGCTAGTGAATCAGAGGTCAGCCACCAGCAATAGCGATCTACCCCGCGGGGTAGTGCTGCATCAAGCGGATTGATTGTCTCCTATCTCGCGACGATCATCATCGGTCAACCATGAATTTCATTTTGCAAATTGAGTTTCCTGCCTAAGGTAGCTACTAGAAGAGAACTGAACGTTCAGTGCTGAGAGCATTAATGTACAACATTGGCGCTGTAAAAACAATTGATTTTTGATGAACCGTTGATGGAGATTGATTATCCCACCAAAGGTCTCGATCGATGCTGTATTGACGTACCCAATTGTGTTCAAGCACGGATCAAAAGCACTTTGACGTTTGAACCGTATAAACTCTATGTATGTCAAGACATATGTACGTTATCGAGGTACTTTATACTCTAATAGATAATTTAATCGATTTTGATTACGTATTTGTGTTATGACAAATAATATATAAACTACAGATTTATATATATTGTTTATAAAATTTGTCATAATTAATAAAATTTTTCATATAATTTATCCTTCATGTGTAAATATTTATCTCTTTCATAAAACACACAAAGGAATTCCTTCTTTTTAATTTTAGAAATAATAAGGTTTTTAACAAATATTGTTTTAATATTTTTTTTTATAATATATAATTGCTAAATAAAATTAAACATTAATTATATACTTTGTTTATGATAATATGCGCACTGATAATCGTCGAAATTCCATTTAGTGATAAGTCGACAGAAATGTCGTTTTATCTTTCTTTCCATGAGTAACAAAGATAGAATGATACTTATAATGATAATTATGGAAGGCACCCATATTGTGATTCTACAACTGATAGGAATGAGATATTTATTATGATCTAATTCGGGTAATGTTCGCATTATGATGAATTGTTACATGACAGCGTTATCCGTTAGTTGTCATACGATATGCTTAATGCGTCTACTATGGGGTCGTTATTAGTGATGCCTATTAAGCATTAGTACAGTATATAATAAATTTGTGTCAAAAGCCGCGAACATTTCGCGTGGTCTAATGCAAATGTATAGAAGAAAATTTTGCTTAATCACAGAATTTCTACATAAATATATAGTATATATACATAAGTATGCAAACTACGTACTTGAAATTCGAAAATATCTCATATTAATATACATTTATAGAATTAATGGTATTTTATACACTGAAAAAAAAGTCTAGTTATAGCTACCAAATATTGAGTGAAATAGTTTCAACTAAATGTTGAGGTAATATAACTAAACATAAGTTTACTTTTACAAATATATAGTAAGTATTACCGTTGGTAATAACCTCAACATTTAGTTGAAACTATTTTACTCAATATTTGATAGCTATAACTAGACTTTTTTTTCAGTGTACAATTTACACGTATTTTTTCTCTTTTTTCTACCTTCCTTTCTCTTTTCTCTTTTTATAAATCTAAATTTTAGTAAAATAAATTTCATATATTTTTTTGGACAATCTTTTCATTTTCATTATATAATAATATCATAAATTGCAAATACTACGTTATTGGTGAGACAATATAAAATTCTCTTTATTAAAGAAATACTCGAATACATTTTATATTTGTAATATTTTTGATTCTGTTTCAAAAATGTTATAAATGTACAATGTTATAATTGGCAGCATATTTTTTTTTTTAGTTATATTTTATACTGTTCCATACGCAAAAAGCAGATATTATCAATTTTTTTTATGTACGCTCTGAAGAAGGGTCAAAATGGATTCGAAACATATAAGCTCGAGATAAATTATAGACTATTAGTTTTTGAATACTAAGTTCTCATTTTGCGCATCAATTTCCGCCCGACTTCTAAATGTCTTTTCCTTATTCAATTTTCTTTTATTATCAATTTCTTGTACAAGCTGCAATAATATATATAGAAAGAACGGTTTTGTTAAAGTATTTAAAAATTTAGCTAAAGCGTATAGATTTGAAAATAATTTTAATTTATTAGACGAATTTATTGAACTATTAAAATAATTATATAGAATGCTCTCAAATTAGACTGTCAAAGCTTCATGCAGCCATTATCATCATGCTTGAAATTTTCTATATTATTTTGACGGATCAATTATATTCAAATCTATATTTATCTAAATTTTTAAATACTTCAGCAAAATTCCGTATATAGATCATATTTTTTTTGTTCGCTAAATACTATAATATTGAACTCTCAATAGATAGATTTAAATTTATAATAGTAATTGATTATTTACGAGTTAAGTTGTTATCACGTGTAATACACTATTTTTACGATCTTAAATAAGCAGCGCAAGATAATCGCACGATATTTTAATCGATTACGAGAACGGAAGAGAATGCGATATAGATGTTATCGTATATCGTTAGCATGTAAAACCGGCAAATTCGCCACAACGGTTTACCACGATGGTGGCATCTACATGCGTTTCATTATTTATGAGGTCGCTGAAATGGTTTGATCGCCGCTCATTGGGGATTGACGGGTATCGATTTGGCTTGTCGCAAGTCCGCGACGACGATTACGCGTCGATCCATATGATGGATGTTTCGCTAGCGACGCGATGAGATGAAAAACGAGATTCCAGAACCACGAAGACAAATCCTACGAACTTTTATTATAGAATTCCTTCTATGTCTTGGGTTAATTCACCAATTTTTAATATTAATTTGTAACTTGTTATTGGATAGAAATATTTATAACATAATTTTAATGTTTCGAATAAATTACAACATCAAATCTGTTAATCTGATGGTGATTTTTTTCTTGGACATAAAGTGATTGATATTTTGAAATTGTATTGCTGAGAATGGTTCCAAAGTGAACTGAAACGTACTATTATTTTTTGGAATAAAGATTCTATTTTCTGGATTAAAGATTTAAGATTGCGTATTAACTATCACGCTGACATTCGCCCTGTTTTTTTGGATTTTTCGTTGTTTATTGTAGAAAGTCGTGGCGACCCCAGTTGGCGTATGTTGAATAATTGAATAGATATTCAAAGGTGATTGACATATCTTATGGTATGCATGCATATATTATGTCAGATCGGTAATCTGTAAACTATCAGGTTCACAGATTACTGAATTTAATTATTTACCAGTGAAAAATAAATGCTAGAGCATTCCACCTTACACACAGAAAAAATTTGCTATAAACGCTAATCCTACGCCATGACAGCAAATTTATTTGCACATATAGGGATCGTAAATTATTTGCAGGTGTAACAAATATTTATTCTTTTTTATACTTTCTATAAAAATTATTTGCAACAAATGCAAAATATTTGTCAAATATGTTTGCTATAAATAGTAAACGAATTTGAATATTTTGTAATTCCTTTTAAGTTTATAGCACATTTTTTCTCTCTGTTCGAGAAAAATTCTTATTTCGATTTTAGCTCAAGTAATGTTGACACAAATGGTCCTTATAGAGTTTAACAGATTGCATCGCGCAACCATTTGATCATTAAAAAATATTTTTGACGATTTCCGTTTTTCGAATTAGAAAGCTGACAACTCGTTTTTTATACAGTTATTCGATATTGCGATTTGGAATGACATTCATCATCT